ACTACAATCACCAGAAGCACCACCAGCAGCGCTCAAATCTGAGCCACTCCGGAAGCAACATCAGTTGCAACTAAAGCTGTAGCATGAAACCATAAAATCGAACCACTGTAACAATAGCGGCGGCTCCAACTGACAACTTTTGTCCTAACGCAGTCAGAAATGCTTTGGCCGCCATTCTGCGGCCCGGAGGACTAACCAGCTGCCTACAGTCTTGCCCTATTTAGGCCGCATGCAAGTAGCCACTGTTCGTTCCGATCGCAGGCGCCCTTCCAACCGGGCGGGCGGTAATATTGATCAGCGACCAGCTGTGCAGCACCACGACGACTTGCTGCTGCTACTTCGACTACGACGACGACGGCTACTACTACTACTACTACTACTACTACTACTACTACTACTACTACTACTACTACTACTACTGCTCTCCTCCTCCTCCTCCTCCTGCTCCCGCTGCTGCCGCTTCTGCTACCTCCACCACTGTTTGAAAATGCCTTTCGGCGTGCAGAGCGATCTCCATCGGCCATGATTCTCCGCCTCGACACCCCTGCTCACGGTTATTAACGTGGGCCTTAGCGAATCCGAGGCCCAAGCTCCACACGCAGCTGGGTCCCACCTTGACAACTCCCAGCATGCCTATCGAAGAAGGCTATTTCTGCTGGCGTGCCCGTACCAACCTGGGAGTAAGCTGTGCTAACAAAGCTTCGACGAAACGAGACATGGCATCAACACGGCAGTTTGCCGTCTGCTCTGTGAAATTGTGCGAGGACCCAACACACGTTTGTATGCCACAGCAACAAGCACTGCACATCGTGCACCAACTCTGCCTCGTAAATGCTTGCAACCTTTAATTCTGCATGTATATATATATATATATATATATATATATATGTATATATATATATATGTGTATATATATATATAGTTTATATATATATATATATATATATATATATATATATATATATATATATATATATATATATATATATAGTTATATATATATATGTATGTATAAGTATATGTATATATGTATGTATAAGTATATGTATATACACACACACACATATATATATATATATATATATATATATATTGATCTATTATGATTTTGATATAGATACAGATATGGATATAAAATGACATAGACATAGATGAAGATAAAGAGATATAGATATGCCAAACCCAAACCTTGCCAGGCACCAGACGGGTGAAGCCACTGAGGACGTCCATGCCTCGAGATGCAGCGACCCCCTGCTTCCAAACCTACAACCGATCATCTGCCGTGCTCAAGAACAGTAGCACCATAGAACCCTTTTCTTAGCAAGGACTGAGGAGCCATAGAACCCTGAATAAACCCCTAAACCCACCTAAATGCGATGCACGGCTTTCCGGTTTGGCATTGCTTGGCGTCTGTGTCCCGCCTCTGGGAACTATGCACAGCGCCTCGAACGGCTTCCGACGGCTTAAGGTTTAGAGCGTCTAGGGTTTGTGGTGACCGGTATAAGGCTCTGAGGTCTGGCTCCTACAATCCCTGACCGGAGTAGATCCGATATGTGTATGTACCTATAACGTGTATTGTCTTATAGGCCTCATAGGCTCAGGACTGAGCGCTGGGCCAAAGAGCCGCGACAGTTCACCCGCACGCGGAAAGATCTCCAAGGCATCGGAGACCTGCAGAACTTCGGATTTAAGCCATATCTCAGCTTGAGGCTTGTGAAGGCTGAGTCTCCGCAGCTTCGGGAAGTAGTGGACACATGCTTTGCATCTCCGTATGAGGCACTTATACAGGGCCAGTACACACTGCGGATGTGGGTGCCATAGACTCCGTCTTGGAGGCTGAACCCTGAACCCTAAAGGACTGCTGCAAAAGTTTGATGAAGGTTTTCTGGGGTTGCTTCGATGGCTTTAGTGGATTGTCACGGGCTTGTAAGTTACAAGGTCTTGTAGGATGTTACGAAGAACTTTCTGGGAATCTGGAAGTAAACATGATCTTGGCTTTCTACCTTGCACATAATGCGCCCGTGAGCCGGTGCCTCCAGGGAGAGTGAGGCCAGCGAAGCGGTATGTTGCAGCAAAGCCTCGCAATGTTGGTATGTGAGCAAAGGCCACGAACCGAAGTCAACAAGGAAGCAACCGCCAGAGTCCGTTACAGGCGACATAGAGACAAGCACATAAACGACAAAGGGTTATATAGAAGACTTGAGAGACTAGACAGGAAGGAAGAAGAAACACAACTGCATGTAGTGGAGGTTCATGGCATCAGTCAAGGACGACTGAATTAAGGAAGGCGAGTATGTAACAGTCTGCACAGCAAGATGCGGATGCGTGCCTGTTAGCTTGTGTGCGGTCTTTCTATAAGTGCAATCAGACACGACTATGGTTGTCTCCATTTTCATGTTTATACTTGGGCAGCATGAATGCACGACATGCACTGCAAACATTTCATACGGCACGTGCCTTACAGCATTGCGGTTCAACGTATGCATTCATACCTGCATACTACACACATACATGCATACATACATACATACATAATACATACATACATGCAGACATACATACACAAATACATACATCCACACATACAGACTGACAAGAACAGATGGACATGCGTGAAAGGCTTTCATGCGCACATGCTTGCTTACATCTATGCATGCAGAGTCTGACAGCAGGTGAAAGACATGCAGCACACCGACGACTTAGGGTCCGACTGACGACTTCAGGCTTAAGGTCTCCCAAAGGAAGCAGATTTCGGAAAACCCCCGTTTCACTACAAAGGTCCTGGCGCATTCAACGATCAGTAGAACCTACTGGTATCTACTACCCACTATCGACGAAGCATCGTTCCGAGTCTGCCGTGCTTTCCCGAGAGCAAGCGGCCAATCGGTTCAAGGTTCGGGGCGGTTACTGTCTGGGTTTCCCACTCTCACGGCTCGCACAAGGCAGGCAAGGCTACCGGTTTTGAGGGCTACGACGTTCAGGCTTACACCGGGTCGTAAGGTAATCAAAATTAGGGTGGCAACGGTTACTTGCATCAGATGCCAAACCCTGCCTAAAACTCTGAAACCCTTATCGCTGCGGCTCAACCGTACTTAGTGCAGTAGCCTTTTTGCCACCCGCCCAGCTGAAACAAGTCGCACCGCAGGGAACTCGTCCGAACTTACCACGACACTTGAGAGGGAAGATTCCAGTGCAGTAGTCTTACTTGGATTTAATGTTCTCTGCTTGCTTCGTGTTCCAAGGCCAGAGCAAGCCGCGCTTGTGCCGTCCCCTTCGGCAGAGCAAGAAGGCAAGATCTGAAGCATAAGCTAACAAATCTCCGAATGGGCTGGGAGTAGGGGGAGTTTCTGGGTCAGGCACGAATGCGTGCTGGGCGGAATTAAGAAAACACTTGAGCCGCGCATTGAGGGATGTTCCAGGTGCTGGAGTTTAAAGCAGCTTACATGTGCCAGGAAGTAGGGACCACGGACGTGCCCAATACTGGGATACAGTCCTTCTGCAACAAGCATTCAACTGGGATAATAGAGGGGCCGTAATAATTGGAATAAGGTATTGGGGTCCATGATACCATCATTATGATAAGGAACCCCGAAAACCCTGTTCTAATGATTAAGGCCCCTATATTAGAGTCCTGACCCCTGGGCCTCTGAACTTGTGAAGTGGGCTGCAGACCCGTAACACCGCGACACCGACAGTTCCATAAGCACTCCGGGCTCGGTGTGGCCCAGAAAAACTCCCAAACCCAAAACCTGCGGAGCCAATGCCCTTTGAACAAGGAGTGACCATTCCATGGTAGAAGGATCCTTCATAACATCAGCTCAGACACACTGCCTGCTTACGCTTACTTACCCGGCGTTGGCCGACGCAAAGAACAGCCTTTGTGACGCCATGCGAAGCCTTCAGCCAGTGTCGGTCAACTTCGCCCAGAGGCAAGCACGGAAAGCTTCGACCGAGCCTCAGCACTAGGAACCAATTCTTGGAGCGAAGAGCGAAAGAATGCTGACGAAAGGCAAGGTTTCTTAACAACTTGGAATTTTCGGTTCCCTATATTCCTGAAAAACTGTTCGTGCTCTCTCTCTCTCTCTCTCTCTCTTTGCCTGTCTGTGCGTCTCTTCTCCACCTGCCTGTCCCTCTGGTTCCTACCTGCTCATCCGCTTCTATGCCGCTTGAAGGAGAAAATCCGTCTTTGTCTTTGCCTTAGAGGTGTATGCCTATGCACACATCCATCGTTCTGTCGTAGGTATTGCGGACATGCGACCTTCCAGTGAGCGTCTTAGATCTAGCCTCGAATCCGATTTCTTGGTCCCTGAACATGCTCAGATCCTGCAGAACCGACCAACTCAATTCCGAAGCCGACAGACATGTGGCCGGTGTGGCCGCTGAAAATACGAAGATTCGGGACCCTCATAATCAAAAAGACTTCGGTATCGGTTTTTGGTATGATACGAGTACTGCTATCGGGGCTGCAAGGGGATAAGTTCACGATTTTTCGCACATTCTGAAGGCCTCTCTGCTACCGCAGGGCCCCGGCAGCTCTTTTGCAGCCTCCTGAAGACGTGAACTCGTGATGTAGATGATTGGGGCAAGAGCGAGATCAAGGCTTGGGCAGCTCACTCCCACTTTCATTTGGCGGGTAAGCAGGCATGACAGCAGCATACTGCACTCATAGTCGTACAACTTATGAGCTGTGCTCCTCCTACTAGGCAGTTTCAAGTTTCAAGACTACCAATGACGATTCGGCAAGTTGTTAAGCCTCCCAAGGAACGTTCATGGTCAGATCAGTGGTGTTGCAATACTCCCATGTTAGGCATAGCGTACGGTCATGAAAACCATCGTGACGAGGATGTTGATGCGCCCCAGAACCATCCTTAGAAGCAATAGCTGCGTTCTCATGAAGGGTCCTCATCGTCATCACTACGCGACAGGCCGGGCATCGTCTTTCGGTCAATGGCATACACTCCCCTGGGCGAATGCCCGATAACACACCACTCTGAAAGGAATCAGCTATGACTTTGACATTGCGTACTCGTACTCTTGGAGTCCTGGGGGGCAAAACTCCGCAACTTGGCCCCAAAGGTGATGTGCATGAGGAGCCGCCAGACCTGCAAGCAAACCGTGCCCCAACAAACGGTCTGCCAGGATCGCCTCATTGCAGCTTCCGTGCACAAGACCAAACGAACCATGGCTCAAACACTTGGTGAAAGGCATTCAGGAGGAGCCGCCCAGGAAGCTGCAAATCGCTGGGTGCAATCATTTCTGACCTGGTTGCACAGCCCTTTGCGGATGGTCCCAGCTGTTACGAACCGACTTTTACCAGGCGAGGTCTGTGCTGCCAATCAGCTGCAACAGCCGACAATCTGCCAACAGGGATCTCACCCAAGAAACCAGCATCAAGATCTAACTTGACCTCGATTCAGATTCAAGCTCATGCTCTTACGCTGGCGGAAAGTCGAGCTTCAATCAGGAGGGCCATCGACTTCCCGATTCATGCCAACACAAAACACGAGTAGTCGGCATCCTGAAAGAAACACATACTCCGGACTCCGAAACCACCTATACGCTCCTGGGTTCGGGAGGTTTTTATAACGCTCTGTGGGTAGTTTACCGTTATCTGTCTCTTGGGCACTATGAAAAATGCTCGGCGATGTCTTCATGCCATAAAAAGAGAACTTTAGTGGTTCATTCGCCCGGCAAAATGGTGATGATGATCTTGTTGGTGGTGACGATGACGCAAACAAGGAGGGTTCTTGTAACAATGATGACGGCGTCGTCATCGTCACGATTCGACATTGACGATCATGATGACGACGGGTGAGGCCTCTGCGGGCTGCAGTGGCCGGACGTCTAGGGACCCGACTCGTAGGTGCGAGGATCCTGGCCTCAGATTCAATTAGGCCGAGCTTAACATTGTGGTCTTGACAATTAATTAGAACGGCGTCTTGGGTTTGGGTCCGGACAGAAGGGACACTATTTGTGCCTCTCAAATCCAAATCGAGCACCAACACCCATCACACCTTCGACTGAACCTTGTGGAATTCAGTCCCGAGATCTAGCAGTCCAGGCGGCCAGGGCCAATCGACGATGCCGACGTAGGCTGTGGGAGCGGAAGCGGGCTAGCCTCAACCCGCACCACAGACACTGTGTCTAAATGCCAGGCTAGATCCTATAAGGTCTGGCAGGGGGCAGCCTCTTTTGGGCTGTAGCGCTCGCAGGGCTGGTATACCTATCTGATCTCCAGACATGGCATGATGCTGAGAGAAATTGGGTGAGACATGAATGATAAAATACTGAGCGCATATTATGTCTCGAACCATCGACTGCGCCCGCTAGGCAAGCAACATCGTGTGGTACTCGCGACAGCTGTCTCCGCAAGTCCTGCGGGGCTGGGAAAGCATCAACGTATTCTGAATCGTCATAAGCAGAACAGCCCCTGCGAAAATGGTGTAGGGCAAGCTTTCTCTATCGTCATCATCGCCATCACCGCCGCAGTTACCATCAGCAGCATCGTCATCACCACGTGTTAGTGCACGCTCATGGCCAAGCACATCAACAATGCAGCAACAGCAACAGCCATGGTTGCCGCAACGTCCTGCAAATGATAACAGTCACAGCAGCAGACATAACAAACCAAAATGATGTTGGTGACGACGATGGTGCTGCCGGTGGCGGCGGCGGCGCTGCTGGTAGTGCTGGTGATTGTGAAGATGGTGGTGGTATCTGGTGATGGAGATGATTAAGGGCAATTGTTTGTGGGAGTGGTCCGGGCAGCGACGATGCCGATGCTCGTTTTACCGAAGATGAACATGGCCGTCTGAAGAAGTGGAAGATCTCTCCTTCCCGGCGTGCGCGGCATGCGGATGCTGGCATCAGGAGGACTGAGTGACACAGCAACCTTTCTTCAAAAACTTTCTTCCTTTCCTGCGAGATCTGGATACCCCGACCGTACAAGTGCTGTTTGTAAGAAACTCATCGACAACGTCTTCGTTCTTACACCCAAATGGTTTATCGCCCGAGGTTTGCGGCCCACGGTTTTCACAAAGTTTCAACACGCAACACTCATGGGATCAGTTCTCTGTGGAGGCGAATTCTGCGGAGAGGTTGGCACATCAACAGCTTCAACCCAAAACCCTAAACTTTCAACCCTCTCTCTCTCTCTCTCTCTCTCTCTCTCTCTCTCTCTCTCACAGGCACTCGAAGCGTCAGGCCTGGTCGAACTCTCAACCCTAAACCCTAAACCCTAAACCCTAAACCCTAAACCCTAAACCCTAAACCCTAAACCCTAAACCCTAAACCCTAAAGCCTAAAGCCTAAATCGGATCCTGGTCACGTTTCGCGACCCTCCGATCCACGCTCCTCGGCTCCTAGCGCCCGGGCGCGCGCGAGGACGAAGCCCCAGCTTCTGCTGCGAAGTTCCCAACCCAAGCAGACCTCGACCGGGGGAACATGAGTCAACGAATGGCGATTTCGACTGCACAACTTGGGCAATCGGCGCTATTCGGACGTACAATAGACATTTCCTCTAGCCGCATGGAATGTGCTACAATCGCGGCTTCTCATTTAATCTAAAACTGGGCTGCCAGCGTCTGGATCGGCTGAGCGGATCAACTCCACCAGAGCCTCTCCAAACAGAGAACTAAACCCTTTCCCCTGAACCCAGGAACGAGGATCTGAGTCACGCGAGGCCAAGTCCTTATTGCGCTTTTTCTGGAAACTTCGAAGTAAACATACATACGACACTACACTATACTACATCAACGGAGTGGGCCATAACATACTATAACATATGATACTGCGCCACTCTCAGCTCCACGCCACATGCCTTTTAGGCCGGCTCCGAAGAAGTACTTTCATTATCATCATTAGTTATGCTATGTTTACTGTTCTCATTAGTAAAGTCACTGTTCACCATGTATTATTAGCTGCTGTTCGTTATTATTGCTCTTCTTGTTCTTACTGGTATCATTATGGCTGGTAGTATCATTGTTATGACAAAGGCCCCGTGCGCATCATGAATGGCCCGCTACTTGTAGTCCCACTTCCAAGGGCACCACCTTCAACAGGTCCAGCTCCCCCTTCATTCAGGAATACTCCTTAAATTTTACGTAGTAGGATCCCTGATACGATTTAAGGTATAAACCCAAATTCAGTGGTATGGGAGTTTCCGACAGTAGGGGACCCTAATATAGTACCCTAAATAGTAGGACCCTCATTATAAGGACCCCAATATAAGGTACCCCAATTTTCGGAAACTCCCATATCATGTTAAGAGTGGTTATAAGTAGATATAACTAAAGTTACCTTACTTATAACCCGGGTTTCTAAGTCCCATGATCCTCCAAGTAGGAGTCTCTGGGCACCTTCAACAGCTCCAGCTCCCCCTTCACGCAGCGCAGCTCCAGAGGCTGGCTCTGCTTCTCCAGGCTCTCACGCCATTCCTCCTCAGAAGCTCCGGCAGTTTAGGGGCCCATTATAATGAGGAACCCCCCCGCAAAACCTTATGAACCCTAATATAGAGGCCTTAGTAATGAGAATTGGGTTTAGCGGCCCACTATACTATAATTAGAATAAGGAACCCCCAAATAGTATAGGTAACTGTTAAGGCCCCCTCCTCAGAACGGAATGTGCAAAGCCGAGAGCAGGGAATCCGATTTCCTTCAAGCATCCCTGCCTCTCTCTCTCTCTCTCTCTCTCTCTCACAGGCACTCGAAGCGTCAGGCCTGGTCGAAGGGCAACATCTGTGCCACTCGTAAAACTACAGATAGGATAACTCTTGAAACTGAAATTAATTAACCTGGCAGATCAGTCGGTGGGATGCTTAAACTACGGATCCTGCTATGAAATGCTATGAATTGGGTTTAGGGTTTAGGGTTAAACTGCGGATCCTGCTATGAAGTGGAAAACGCTTAGAGTTCGGCTCCTCCGCCTGCCTTCAAAAATTCGCAGCTTCGAAACCTCGTGAAAATGGGGGGCCTCAATAATTACTAACACTCTTTTGGTGGTTCTGCATTATAATTATAGCACTATGGGCCCCAAAACCCTATTCTAATCAAGGCCCCTATAGTGTGCCCTCCCACTCTTCCCAGCCCCGAAACCTCCAGCAACTTCTGGAGCCCTTGAAGTGGAAAACCTCGAAGACAGGATCCTTAATAATTGGAATAGGCTTTTGGGCCCCCTTTATATCCTATAATCAGAATAAGGAACCCCGAAAATAGTATGTTATTCTTGGGGCTTCAGGTTTTGCAAAATACAAAGAGGCCATGCGTCCTCCTGCAGTGTATCTGCCACCACCAGGGCACCATGGCGGTCGCGCGGGCGCATCCTTTCCGAGCAGTTGATGTAAGCCCCGGCGGAGTGTCTGCAAGAGACAGAAGATTGAAGCATCAGCAGATTAGAGCCCTCGAACTTCATCAAAACCTGGGTCATGAGGTAGCAGACAAAGAAACTTCAACTTCGTAATGTGGTGCTGTTGCCAGATCAAGATATTACGCTCCTGTACGCAGTAAACACTTCAGATTTCGATTGACGCATGGGCCCTTGTATGCTCACTGGGGTACAACTGCATCCTGGCCGAATACGTTGTCCCAACCTGCGACACAATCTTCTTCGTTGGGACCATTACCGAACGCCAACTCGTCTCGGACTCCCAGAGAGCGAGTTCACCGCTGATAAGTTCTGCGCTCATGCATGGCAGCAAGACGCTACGGAATGCAACCTAAATCGACCCCCACATATGCACTGCAAACTGCTATGCCAGATCCACCCAGCTACTGGCAACCGCACTAGTACGAGTAGCGGCAATTATTGCTTGTCGTTCTCATCCTCATCATTGTCATTATCACTACCAGTCAAGAGCAACAAACGATCCAAGATGAAGGCGGCGGCCTCTTGCCACCGAGGAGGCAGCCATGTGGACGCCACGTGTAGCCTGAGCGAGTTCACAAGCACTTAGCATCATAGATGGCTGCATGCTCAGACCCTGCGCTCACGGGATCTGGACTTACCGCCACCACTCTAAGGTTTGGGTTGCCTGACGGTTTCACTCTCCGTCCTTCCCATGCCCTGAGACCAACTTGCATCGCATCTGCCAGCACCCGACTTTTCTCAAATTGATAAACAATCCCGATCTTCCGGTGGATGCAGTTTACATCAGTTGGTGACATGCTATGTCTTCTTTAGCATGCCGGCCTAGCGGTTGCCCAACTGATACAGGGCCAAACAGGCGAGGTCATGGGTCATGAGAGAACCCATATGGGAGTGCGATGCAAAAGTCCGCGCCGGACTTCTGCAACTTTCTTGTGGGCTCGGAGAGGGTATGAAGCACCCTTTCTGCTCCACAACAGCACGGGGGGATCTGGCATGCTTTGATAGAACTTTTGGGTCATTTCGTCTTTTGGCTGAGGTATCGAAGCATGTCTGCGCCCCGGTCAGAGCTGCGGAGTTTACACCAGATCGTGGCAACTGGAACTGCTGCACGAGGTGGGCTTTGCATCTCCAGTTAAACTTGAGGAACGCATCGACGGCAGTTAGTTGTCGAGCCCATTTCCTCTTCGCTAAGCGCTCGATTCCTTGAATCTGTTGGTTCACTCGCGGATATCTCGGGAAGATAGGGACTTCGACATTTACATCAGTATGGTAACTTACGTCCAAACTCAAACTCTCACTGCGGATTATGTAGGAGCGTGGGGCACGACCCTAAAATATCGCGCGAAACCTGTCTTCTCGACAGCGTCGCAAGAATTTCTGCCTGAACTACCAGCATCGAGAGTACCGAACCACAGCTCAGGAAATCCTTGTGTCCCAAGCTCTACGATTGCGGCCGTTTGAAAGCTAGCTCAGACGATTTTTGGCGGCAGGTTCCAGAATAGAACCTGGGCGCAGGAGGAGTTTTGATGTGCAGCGACAGCCTTGAGCATTTTGCAATCGTCTTCAACTTCTTGCAGCAAGAGGTGCAGCAATGAAAGTGTAGGCCAGCATCAACAGGTAGCCTTTGAGCCAGTGTGATCGTCCGTCGGACATGAGCACGACCACTAGGAGCACGGAGAAGAAGATCACAGCCTTTGTATCCGCTCGGCGAAATGTACACAAGGTGCTTCTTTCAGCGGACAGAGACAGCATCGACTTCTTCTCCAAAGGCTGAAGGATCCGGGGGAAGAGCGAGGGCAGGGAGCAATGAGCAAACCAGTCAATTCCATTGGAACAAAACTGCAAAGATGCACAGTTTTGGGTGCAGGCATTCTTGGCCGCTCTTGTCTTTAGTCTCGAAGCCTAAGCGGAAAGTGCAGTGCATGTGCGGTGCCAGAGATTCAGCAAGGTCGCGGTGTTGATCATGCCGAAGTCCAGGGTCATAGGCACATCGAGCCTGATTCAGGCGAGTGTGGGGTTTCGGCTCTGCTGTTTGGGGGTGTCTGGGGGTGTCTGCCCTTTGGGACAAATGGCATCCAGCCCACGATGACGGCGAAGGGCACCACGAAGAGTGCGACCTGCGTCCTTAGCGGCATTCAAGAGCCATCCTCCAAGTTTCCCGAGCTTAGGGGCTTCGGCGCTCACACCCGGGCTCTCCAAGCGAGGCATGTGTCCACACGTCCGCTGGGTGAAAACCAAGCCGACGACATACCAAAAAATCCCAAGCTAGAGTAGGGTACTAGAAGGGCCTTAATAATTAGAAAAAGGTTTTGGGGGGCCCGTTATACTATTATTCCAATATGGATCCATCAATTAGTATAGGTAATTATTAAGGCCCCTATAGTATAGACTAAAGGAGAGCAGACCAGGCCGGCTCTCGCCGAGGATTCATGGCTTGCGGGTGTAGACTTGGGGGTTTTAGGGCTTAGAGCTTAGGTAGGCTACTAGATACGAGGGTACTCCTCAACCCTAAACCCTAAACCCGAGCATCTAAGCCAATACCTTGATGTACGCAAGCTCTGCAGTGCCAAGGATCGATGAGCCGACGGCAATACCAACCTTAACAAGGTAGGGTTTAGGGTTTAGGGACACCAGATGGGTTTGGATTTTTGTTAACGCTCAAGGGTTTCGGATTCGTCTTTTGTTGAATGACCGACCCTTTTCCGTCTCGCAACGATTCTGAAAGCGGTGAGCCCGCTGGGTGCTCGGGCAAAGCGTTTAGTAGGGTTTCTCTGGACCTTGTTGGAAATCGCATTCTCTGAGGATAACCCTAGCAAGCCAAGACAACCATAAATGGTTCAGACTTACTGTATCCGACCCTCATTCTTCACTTTGTACATCTTGCCGTCGTGCTGAAGGTTTAAAAGCTTCCTTGCGGCCTCCTCCATCCCTCCTTTAAGCAATGCATCCGAAAGACTGGGGGTAGTTGCGTTGCACCCAGCCAAAGACGCCAAAGTTGAATCTGTTAACCCCAGCAATACCACTAATTCAAAGTCGATCTGGCTCCATACCAGAGTAGAGTCACTATGCGAGCGTCCACTGGTGTGTGTTTTGGTTAGGGATTTCTTTTCAGCGTTCCTTTCGTCTCGCGAGATCGAGAAACGGTTTTCCGTGGGGCGCTTGGGTTGAGAGTTTAGACTTCAGGAATGTTCTGGTTGGTTTACACCGATTACACTACAAAATCTTCACTTCAAGCAGGTTGCAGCGAGACCCGGCTTGTCGTCCATGGCAAACCGCACGGCACCGAGATGCTCACCTTTGTTTTCAAGTCACGACTTGGAGGATCATGGCATTTAGTAAGTAGGGTTATAAGTACCTTAATTGGGATCACAAGTAGATATAACTATAGATACCTCAATTGGAACCCTACTTACTAAATTCCATGATCCTCTAGGTAAGAAAGCCGAAGCAACTGTAAAATAAAACAGTTGCCGCCATCGTCCTAGATGTAGATACTCGCAGATAGACGCAGTCGAGATCGTAGCCGTAGAGCTAAAGCCACTTAAGATTGTGCGGATTGCTTGAAGTTGCCCCAGCTATTGGTGATGGAAGCAGAACCGAAGTCCAATTCGAAGCAGTAGTAGAAGGAGAGGTAGAAGCAGTAATAAGAACGATAATGTAGGATGTAGGACGCAGGGCATAGGGCCCATAGGGCGTAGGATGTAGGATATGTGATGTAGTGCGTAGTACGTAGCTCATAGTGCCTACTGCGTGGCGCGTGGTTCGTAGTAGTACGTAGTTGTACGTAGTAGTAGCAGTGATAGTAGTAGTAGTAGTAGTAGTAGTAGTAGCAGCAGTAGTAATAACAGTAGTGGTGGTAGTGGTAGTATCAGCAGTAGCAGTAACAATGGCCGCAGCCAGTTGCAAGCAGGAGGTGGCCGGTGGCTAACAAGGAGGGGAGGATGTTCTGGTCAGCAGGAGGCACGTAGCATGTAGCAGCAAGCAGCAAATAAGTAACAGGTAAGTAGGAAACAAGTAGTGCAGCCAGATAGGAAACAGAAAGTAGAAAAGATTCTGGGCAGGCGAAAGATGCTTGAAGATGTGGCAGTGGCAGTCGTCATGAGGGGGGTAGTCGTAGCGGTCATCGCTGAACAACATCATGAAATGCAGCAGCCAAGCAGAGCAGTGCGTGCTACTGCCATCTTGGTAATAGCAACACCTGAGTATGAGCTCCCCTCTATTAATGCTTACACACGGAAAGGGCTATGCTTCTCTCTTGAGGGCTTCAGTCTCGAGTTCTTTGGGCTTACTGGCAAAGCTAGAGGACTTAGCATCCGTAACGGGGATTCTGCAAGGCTTGCTGTCAGCGTGCTCTTCAGTTCAGTGGTGTCGAGAACTTACGAAGCTGCATTGGTGAAATTCTCCATCATGGGTGTGTTGCCTGTATCTGCACTCCGCCCCAATACAATTATTTTCCCATATTTTCCCACGGGTGGCGGTTGATAAACCCAGGGCCAAGCCAGTCGCTAAAACTGCTGACAAACGAAAAGATTTCGGCAGCATGGCACGGCAGCTGCAAGCACTCATTAGGTGGTTGGGGTGGCATCTTTGTATAGGCTGCAACCACACAGGACGTTCAGGCCAAAGGCTCAAAAAGCGGTATCTCTTATTCTCTTGGAGAGCAAAGACCTCAAGTTTCCACAGCCAGGTCGCAAGCATTTCCGGCAATGGGGAGTACCTGAGCATTTTGAAGGGTCTGGTGCGCGAGGGACGACGATGCCAACATGCAAACCCAGCTCATCGCAGGCACAGGTGGTCTGACGCAGAGAAACTCGCGATGAACCCCTACCACTAGTACAAGTAGTGCAGTACTCGTCGTACTCGCAGTATTGCTAGCACTGGTAGTACCAGAAGTACTGGTACTCGCAATACTAGTAGCACCAGTAGCACTAGCACTTCTATTAGTACTGGTAATGCTAGTACGTAGTAAGTAGTAGTATTTGCCCCGGTACTGATAGAGTTGATAGGGCCTGATAGCTCTGCACACTCTGAGATCAGGCTTCAAGCCGACAAGAGCATGAGACGAAAGCCAAGGCACAATTGTGCCGAGAAAGTCAACATTCATGGCCGCGGTGACGCCGTTGATCGATTCACACAAGTAGTCTGAAACGATGTCCGTGATCACCTTAAGGAATATCAAGATGGACAAAACGAACTGCATCACAAGGACTGGCTGGCGTGCGGCATGACTCCTCCGACGAAGCTGGACGTCTCCAAAATGCCCGCTGACGGAGCAGCAAGACGAGGCTTTCCATTTGCAGTAAACCCTTTTTGAACACAGCTTTGGACATTAGTAGGCCTAACGCTGCCAAGAAAACACCCAACACCCCTAAGGCCCTACTATAGCCGCCTTAATAAACATAAGAGGGCTTGTGGGAATTACGCTATACTTTTGTATATCAGGGACCATCGGGACATACCCTTTTTGCACCCAAATCCCGAGCCCCTCCTTAACCTTCTGGCCCGTACAACTCGTACTCGTTTCATCCTAACGTCTCGAGTTCCGGTAACGGTGTCGCTTTGCTCGGTTCTTCTTAAGGGGTTTGATTTAAGCTACCATGATAAGGAAACCATATACTTTACTATAGATCCCGATAATGGTAACTTAAGTTAAACCCCTTAAAGAGAACCAAGTTTATGCACCCTTCGGGAACCTCCAGAGCTAAGATTCAGAGGCAGGGCGTCCCATGCACACTGCACACGATTCTATTCTAAGCTTTGGGATTTCCGATGTACGAGTTTGGGCATTGGGGGGGGCCTTAGAGTTTCGAATTTGGGCTTCGGCGCTGTGGGTTTTGGATTGTGTAGACCACACCATGGGTGCAATAACATGTATCTGCCCTCAGCTTCGCCGCCAAACGACAGTGACGACCACCATCATAGTCAGCGACAGCCAAATGTCGAGAGGTGGTCGGTCCTGATGGGGTCTTCAAACCGTGCGGCTTGGGATCTGGCATTCAATTTTGTTCACCAATATTGTCTTCTTGGATGCCATGACTGTGATAGGCAGGAGGGAAGGTCAGCCGGGATCTTTCCAAACGAAAGCCAAGGTAACAAAAAAAACGTTTCGGGTTGGCTCAGACGCTGAAACTTCAAGCAGGGTGCCCGTCACCCTGCTGACAACGTTGACAGTAAAATCGTCAAAAGCATGCGAATTCTACCATCAGTGATTCTACCATGAGTGACAATGCCGTTCGAACAAAACTGCGACCGTGAGCCCATGGTCCAATCCATCGCCATCAACGTACTTGTCAATGCGACGACGACAACAAAAGCGAAAAAGGATGACTGCGGCAATGGCAACGTCCTCGATCGACGAAGACAATGGCGACGACCACTGCAACAAGAAGAATTAACGCCAGCACTCTTATCAAAGTGGCCAACCTCATCTCACATCTACGACGGACGCAGCTTCATATCCCGGTACTCTAGTAGCCGACTGTCTCTGTACTCTAGTCATCTAGTATACGGCATTGTATACATTGTACTTCAATGTAGGATCGTACATCATCATCACAGTCATACTGTACTCGACTATTCCTTACTACGGTGGCCCCCAGCAGGTTGTGCCTGGTCTTCCTCGGCTCCGTCATCTTTCCTTTGCTGTTTGGGCGCGAGGGTTGGGCTGCGAGTCCAAACGCTTTTAGCGTAGGTTGCCCATGAATGGGACCAAGGCCAGCGATTTCAAATGTAGAACCTGGCATGCATCGCATTCTTTCAATTAAGCTTTGCATCGGTTGTCCCTCGGGGTACTCGCAGCATTCCTGGCTTCATTGGCTCTAGGCTCTCGCAATGTGAACTGACGTGAGCAAGTCTTCAACAGGAAGCTTCGACACATGTCTGACCTTACCTTTCCTGGTTTCCAGCCGCCAAGACTGGACGGCGTCGCCCTGCGCAGGGCACTGAAACCTAGCATCCCCCGACTTCCAAGACCTGACCTCCGCACCAGGGAAACTTAGCCTAAACTTCAGAAAACCAAGCGAAACGGTACTAGGCGACCCTCCCAACGAACTGCAAGTCATGGGCTCCTTTCGAACAAGGGCCTCTGACTACGGTCCCCCGTTCTCTGCAGAGCCAGTTTGAGCAAAGGTTCAGACACTCCTCCTCCTGCTCCAGGGTCTGCTTGTGAGAGAAGAGCTGGAAGATGAGGAAGGCGATGTATGCGGAAGCAACCAGCCTAAGGTCACTCCTGTCCTAGTGTAGTGCTTTGAGCGGTGTTCTTAGTACTATTCTCCGGCTTATCATTCGTATGATTATCACAGTTTCGATTGCAATGGCTATTACCATAACCATTGCGATTACGATTGTGTTTGCTATTACTACCACCATCACCAATACTATTATGTTTTACCGTTACTGTTCCTTACTATTTCTACTACTATGACTGTGACTATTGCCATTGCTATGAGAAATACCATTGCCAGCGCCATTTTTGATTACTGCTGCGGTTTCTATTGCTATCATTAGCACGGATTACTGTTACCATTACTATGCTGAACACACTGTAAACATTTTTATGATCCTATAACCTGGTTATTGCCAGTACTGCTTCCTTTCCGAGGACGCGAGCAAACAGAGCGCACAAGGACCTTCTCAGGAAGAATGTGGGTCGTCATTTGGTGTTTGTTGTTTCACAGCGCGTTTTATGTCTGCTCGGGGGTCATCGCGAAATTGCGACTTTAGGGCCACTGCTCAAGTTCTAGAGGTACCTTCTATAAACCCTAATAATAGCTGAGTCAAGGGGCAGAGCCCCGAAGCGTGAGACGTCCAGCAGGTCCGACATGTCGCTGTCGTATCCTGCTACTGATACTTCTGCACATGAGGCTTCCAAGCGGGATGGGCTTGTACATGCTTGATAAGGGCCTGCTCAAGGTGATCCCCAAATCCAAAGCGCTGGAATCCTGAAACATGGATGGCATCATGATGCTGCTGCTCTGTGCTGATGAGTTCTGCGACCCTATCGACGATGATCCAAACCTCCCAGCCCAATGTGCCGTCGGCCTTGCGCAAACAGTGTGGGGAGTGCGAAGGACATGCAGCCTCAGTGCGGGGCATCTCCGAAGATCCAGCACGTCGTGCTGGGGCTGGACAGGCCTTTTGATGACCCTCTGTGCATTGAGCCATAAATTCAAGTCAGCCGAAGGAGCAAAATATCAGCAAGCCCATGCTCATGATCACGCCCTTCATGGCGAACTTCTGCTCTTTCTCCTGGGCCGGTCAGGCGACGCGATGCAGAGGCAACAGCCTGGCTGAGATAATTACATGGCATCAACACCTCCGAGCCAAAATCAAGCCCATGTGGACCATACCAATGTGGGGAGTTTCCGAAAATAGGGGAGCCTAATATAGTACCCTACTATTTAGGATCCGTACTATAAGCGCCCCCCAAATATCCCCAAATAAGGTACCCCTAATTTTCGGAAACTCCCATGTGACATTTCTTACGGCCGCCCTGCAACTCAACGCGAGAAGTTCAAAAGGCTCAGGACGACATCCAAAAGCAGATGCTGAGGCATCCCTATTGGAGGCTTCACAAGGTGCGAGGAAGGTAGGTAGGATTAAAAGATCCTCTATATAAGGACTCTTATTTGGGGATTACCCCACCTAGCTTCATCCTACCTGCTGAGGCCCATGACCCGATGAAGCTTGCGAAGCATGTGCCTCACATACTCGCCTTTCGGATTTCAAGTTGGGGCCCCAAACTCAGAGAGATCTCTCAAACATCTTCCATCATATTCTGTAATGTCTTGAAAGATCCCTGAGCTGCTTTACCGTAGAGGGCTTGTTGCACGGGTCTCGTGTCTGCTGCTGTGGACAGGACGGGTGTTTCGAGCGCGAACTTCCCGTCACTGGGATGAATTTCATCATTATCAACATGGCTGGGTTGTTGTTCATCTGATGTTGTCCCTTATGTCATTACGGTCACTATTGCAGCACTGCCTGCATCGTTACGACTCACACGCTAGCCCTAGATCCTGAACCAAGCGAAACATAGACGTGAACAAGATCTCCCCGAACATGGTGAAGGGAGATGCTGCCTGTGGCGAAAAATGAAAACCATGGTGTAGATCCCGAATTTATAGAATATTAGGAGGACACCAAATCTTGAAGATCCCCGTATAAGATCTCGAAGCCTCTGTAAAGCCGTTTTAATCGCCCGTTCCATGCCAGAGGCTCTCCGCCCACCATGACAGTGGCTGCCTCGACTTTCACCTGGCTAGCCAAGTGCTGGTAAAAACCCCCAACGGCTGAATGCTTTCGGCCTCAAAATGTTTAGGTTTTTTCCCCTCTCGCCTGGCTAGGATCAATGCCCACTCGCGAGGTGGATAAGGAGCTTGCGCTCTCGCAACTCGGACATGCCAGACTCCAAAAGCTCTTCGGGTCTAGGGTTCGCGCATTTGGGGACAGGAAAGCAAACCCGAACCGTGTTGCTTTTTTTGCGGGCACCGGGAAGATCGGCAAGCGGCTATGCCACGATGCCGAAGGCTGTTCCTCGTGAAGTTTCCGATTTGCTATGACGAATAGCCTCTTTTGCACGCGTCGGTGCTTCCTTCATGTGGACCTCGGTCCTGTCAACGATCATTCCTCAGTTCTGCCACTGTCACAGCGACGATTGTATCGTCAAGGCTCTTTCTGCATCGTCGTAGACCGCAACGTGTCGGCGAATAAGCAGCAGGCACAAATGGCACAAGCCTGCTGGAGCAACAAGCACCAAGAATCCCATTGTGAGAGCCGCAGCCACTCGAACGACATGATGAGAGGCTCGCAAGCCACGAGCTACCTGCTTCGCGATAGCGACTTTCCCGACCAAGCGGGCAGCCAGTTCCGGCTGCACGACGTGTCAGGTTCATTTCTGGAGTCATTAGAGGCTCCTGGGCCTTGCACCCTCCACCCTGGACCTGTGCGGCCTGATTCTTGAAGGCCAGAGTTGGTCTCCCATTCACAGGCGGGGGCTTCAGGGAACTTGCACGTTCAGTCTGAGGGATGTGGAAGGGACAAACTGAAAACAGACAGACAGACATGTGTTCGTTTGTTTGTTGATTTGCTCGGCACCATTCCGCACCCTGCAGGCCTGTGTCAGGCCACCGAAGCAGAAGGACATTCCCAGCACCAGCCTTCAGCGGCCAGAGGACTTACAGGCATAACATAGGGCTCTGAAATTTAAAACAAGGTTTTGGCGTAATGCATATTATACTCCGGTTGTAACAAGGAACGCTAAGGGAGAGTATGGCTCAGTACCCAGGCCGCTGTATGATCGGTAGACGGGGCCCGCTATAAGTGCCTAAAGAGCAGATCGAGCGTCTCCCAGTTCGCGCAGTCTCGATCTAGTAAACCCCAACCTTCATCCTAAACCCTGAAAAGAAAATTTCGCACGCCGGAACCCGGAGCTCTGGATCGCGCGATACAGTGGTTTCAAAATCAGCCTTGGACATGCAAATTTCGATTGATTATCACGATCCTCCCTCAACGGTAAACCTGTCCCTGCAGCCAGGGCGCAGAAGATTCGATAGGATCGATCCTAGCAGGGTGCACTTCACCACGCTGGTGCGCTCGGCGAAGGGCATCCTGAACTGACAACAGCCCATGCAAGCCGCCTCACTATTGACTTTTTGCTTTAGGACTCCAGGGTTTTAGAGCTGTAGGCTCAGATGATGGCCTGGAGCTGTTGTACTCATTTTGGCTGCATGGCCTTGGGATCAAATTTGACGGCTTTATGATGGCTCCTACGGTCAGAGAAACCCACAATGGCTTGTAGTTCAGGCGGGTTCTCACAATCGGACTGGACAACCGTTTGGCGGCGAGAATTCAATGAGGGACAAAAGAACGACGCCACGGTGCACGCTCTCTTGTGCTTAGTCAGAGTTCCACAAACAAAAAATGCTAACTTCTGTCGCTGCTGTCATCGATAGTACTGCTGACCCAGGAGCTTCCGCGACCTTAAGGTGTTGACGGTGATCATCATCTCGACCACGTTGCCTGGGATAGACGTGCCCAGCCCATCGAACCGAAGACATCTGAAACGAAGGAATGTGACGAGAGTGGCGGCAGTGATGAGAGTGACAAGAAGGGCAACGATGCCCGGCAGTATGATGGTGACTGCAAACATCACACCTGTTTGTAGAGCAACAATCAGCGAACAAGACAACAAGGGGCATGGTAAGACTGCTGCCAATGTAATGTTGGCAACGATGAAGACAAGAACTGAAGCTGCAGAGGAGTACTGATCACAATCATAATCCTGATTTGAACTCCATACTTGGCTTCAGGAGTAGAGTGAGTAAGGTGCAAGCAGGGAGGGGATCTCGCAAGCAGTCAGAATCTGGGACTCGCAGGCGGAACACTGTGCAGGGAGGCCGGCAGCAAGCCGCCCGAAATGAGGCTCGGCTCTAGCTACAAGTAGTTCGGAGCCAAACTCCCCCAAACCCAAGAACTGCTTCGGGCTACACATCACAGGGACAAGCCCTCAAAATCGATGCTCGCAGCTTCGGAGCCCAGCCTTCGCATGCATGGAACGGGTCCCACGGCTGCCCGAAGTGGGGGTAAGACAAACTTTGACACCTCTCAACTTACTACCAAACGTCCTCGAAACAAAGAGAACACCGACGACTCCGACAAAACTGTTGTGAAACTAAACACCGCCACAGCCCAGCCACCGAAGGTGGCGTTCAGCATACCGGCCACCGCATCGTTCTTTATGGCCACGGCAAGCTCCTAACGACAGAGGATATAGGGGCCCGAATAAATAGCAAGATGCTTGTTCCGCGGTCCCAGCATGATTCCTGGTCCAGCGAGTTTGGGGTTCTTTGGCCCCAGGAAGGCTCAAGCCTAACGCGGAGGCCTTGCACAACCCCTAGGCCTGAAACCTGCGAAGTACGCCTGAAGATCTTGAGCCCTAAACCTAGCCCCATTTTTTTTTAACCCCCCGGATAACCTCAAGAATCCTCAACGCCCCAACCTACATCCTCACCCCCAAACCTTAAGCCGCTGAAACCCGAGCTGAACCCAGATCCTCCGTCGCGTCGCCCAGGAACTTCGCCAAAGGTAAGAGGGCCTCTGACGTCTGAATTTGAAAATTAGGGGTACCTTATTTTGGGGCCCTTAAGAAGGATCCTACTATTGAGGGTGCTATATTCTCTCTCGCTCTGAGGGCCCCCTATTTTCGAAAATGGTAGGGCTATATATAAACCCCAAAAGGTTACTGGTTACCTACTCAGCTACTACGGTCTTCTAGGGTTGTGGGCGTCATCCTTTCGCGAGCCGTGCTAATCTGGTCTGTGTCTTCTCAATCTCTTGCAGGCTTAGAGTTTCAACACTCAAGGTTTAGGGGTTTGACGGCTTTCTTGCGAGCTTCGGGGTCAGGGCTCTGAGAAAAAGGGTCGTTCTTAAGGAACTAGGGTTTTGGAGCGTAGTGTATGTTATATAAGGACCAATGATCATAAGTGAGTTTAGTGTCTGAAGTCTTCAGGCCTCCATGTAGTCTATATTGATAGAGACCCTCTTGAACGAGGTCACCCTTTTTTGAACGAGGTCTCTCAGAAGTGCAAGCCCTAAGCCGTAAGCATCCCTCAACAGCCTGAGCTTGCAAGTCGGCCGAGCAAAACCCTGCGTCCTAATCCGGAGGCGGCAGAGGCGCAAGTTTGGCTTAAGGAACCCAGAAAGTTCTATGACCTTGGCATGCTCCGCGCAGCACAAAGTAAATCCCGAATCCCAAAACCAACACGGAATAAGTTGCTCACGAAAGTTGGTACTGCATCTGCTGGAGACCCGACGATGGATCCCCAGCCGCGGTAGCTTAGGCGCCTGGATGCTAAGCCCGAGAACTCTGAATCCTGAACTTTACACCGACTCTCTCTTCTTCCGCAGGGCTTGGGGAGCGTGTTCAGCCCCCCCGGCCACATAGGCCCCCCATGTGTACCGACTCTCTCTCTGTCTCTCTCTATCTCTCTCTCTCTCTCTCTTTCTTTCACCAGGTCAATCTTTCTTTCTTTCTGCCGGGCGTAGGGGTCCCGCGAGACCCTCAGGCCTTAGGCCCGCCCAACCCTCACACTGTACTAGTGAGTGGTTGGCATTGGGGTCCATCCTGAAAACGGCATAGAACTACGAAATATGCCCCAGGCTTACAAGTAAAGAGCCCCCCTGAACGCTAAACGCGAAAACAACCCCCGCCTCACCTCCGCGCCCCTATGGCAACTGTCCTTAGCCCTTAGCAGGTTCAGGGGGGCAAGAAAAAAGCCGGTTTAATTATCCCCCCCTCGTTCTCACGCAACAAGGAGAGGATGCGAATTACTTGTGGAAAGCGGATCGGACTTCGTCGCAAGGACGGGGTGCAGTGAATTGTAAAAGGCGGAACGAGGCGGCCAATCGGGCCAGCTTTGGCAAAAGTGGAGCCTATAGTACCGAGCAAGTATGCTACAAAAGGCGTGCTATGGTGCATTCCCCCGGCTGGGTTCAAAGAGGTGGTTGCTTCATCGAGCAAGCCTGGTATACTGTACTTCCCCCTAGTAGGGGTGTAAGGAGAAACGTGGGAGCCGAGGTGCAGGGCAGCCAAACCGAACAACAGGTAACGATCACAGACATGCCCTCCCCCCATTCCCTTGTCCCTCGCACACTGGACTTTTTACACATCATGGCGCTCACTGCTCTCACGGCTGCTTTGCATGTGTTCTTGTACTTGTCGAACTTGCCACCACATGTTCGGCTGGAGGTGCACTCGTCCCCCTCCGTGTCGCCGCGGGCTGCGGCTGGGTGTGCGCGGTCGCTCTTGCCCCAAGCGCTTTTCCCCCAGCAGGTTGGCGTCTCTCCGTCGCCTTGGGCTGCGGCTGGGAGTGCGCGGTCTCTCTTGTCCCAAGCGCCTTTCCCCCACATCCACGTGGCTTCTGGTGGCTGCCGCGGCAGCACTCGAGCTCGGTTCCTCTCCCCTGCCATGGCTCATGGGAGCATCGTCTTCACCATGTTGCTTGCCTCCCCCGTCAGGGTTAGGTGGTGGTGTGCTCGTAGTGGCTGAGTCGTCGCTCCCCCAGTCGACTTCCTCAACGTCGTGCTCTTTTCTCAAGTCGGCTTCCGTTGCTGCTTCTTCTCCCCCTTGGCTTGGTGTCGTAGTCGTAGTCGGCTGCGTCGCCGTCTTCTTTTTCTTGGCTTTCCGTTGTCTTCGCATTTTCTTTCTGATCTGCCTCGCCTTTGTAAGCAGTGCGCCGGCCTTCTGCGGAAAGCGGATCAGGTGTGCCCGCGTCTCGTCGGCGAGGGCGGGCAAGTACTTGTCCACTATTTTTGTGACCTTGTCTGCCGTTGCAGCTATCTTGCACCGTGTTTTGAAGCGGTCCCGGTACTTTTCGTACTCCCCCGCGTCCTTCTGGCTGAGTGGCTCGTCGGTCTCGGCGTCCATCCACACCCCATTTGCATCGTAGATCTCCCGCTTTCCCCACCTATCGAGGGGTCCAGGTAGAAAGTGGAGTCCCAGTCCCCCTCGGGTCGTGAACCTGGTCATGTGTGAGAAAGGGATCTGCGGAGTCTTTCCATCCCCTGCCTCTTGCTGTGGTGGCTCGCGTCCTTGTGTCACTGGTCGGCTGCCGGACCCCCTTTCAGCAAAGCCATGGAACCGACATGCTGGGTCAGAGCGCTCATGTACTTTTCTGAACCCTTGTTGGCATATTCCGGAGCCCTGCCGACACAGCCTGCATTGTTTCTTCCCCGTCTGCTGTTGTCTTCCCCCCTTGGGGCCCATTGTGCCACTATACCAAGGTAGTTTTTATTCACGGTGTTCCGCAAAGTCACGAACTTCCAGGCGTGCTTCTCCCCCACCCAGTCTGCTGGTTCGGTGAGCGGAGCGTCCCCAGGAAGCTGGAAAGGAGGATGGCGAAGAAGGTCGGGTCCCCCTCTTGTAGAGGGCCGAAGTAGAGGGTCTTGCTGTCACCAGGTCACCGGATTGCAAATAGCTCACGATCGTGCCGGTCACCTTTATGGCTCGTTCCTCAGGGAGGCTACAAGGGCCTCTTAAGTCCAATGGCGGCGGACGGTTGGTCTCAAGTACCGCTGGAACAACTGGGAAGGCTCCCTCGGAGGAACAGTCCGAGTTAACCCCCCAGCTGCCCCCCGATGCAAGGAGGCGACACACACCCCCAAGCAAGGTGCAGTACTTGAGCCAAAATGGCTACGGGTCTATCTCTCTGTCTCTCTCTCGCTCCCGCAGGTTCAGAAGTCTGTCAGCCTGAACTGTCAACCACGTATCCTAAACCATAACCGCCCTAGCCCTAACCATACATATCCTACTCCCAAACCCTCAACCTTGTAAACCTTAATCATATATATATATATATATATATATGTATATCCTACCCCCCGAAGACCCTCAACCTCAGACCGGGCGCCACGAAGTTCAGCACGAAGGTCCAGCCATCGCCCCAGCCGAGCTTTTCCGAGGCGGCTCCCAGGGGCACGAAGACGAGCAGCAAAGTGAAGGGGGAGTAGAAGATCTCCTCAAGGCCTCATTTGAGTAGCTCTCTAAAGTAGGGTCTCCCCCAAAATATTACGGCACCTTACACAAAGGACCCCAATTCAGAGAACTACCCGGTAACTACCCATGTTCCAGGGAAGAAGTCACTGAAACTTCCTCAAGGCCACATCAGGACTTACGGTTCGGGTCCAGCACTCAGGGCAATTCAGTTCCGCCGTTTGGGGTGCTTTTGGGTGCGATCGGGGCTCGAGGCAAATTTTACCGCTGAAGATTTGCTTGCCTCCATGCGCGTGACAGGCGTGTTGCAGGAGGCTTCTGAAGCCCTGGTCTCAAACCGCACCAGGGAAACCACCGAACCTCTCCAGCCTCTGCTTGGTGAGATCAGGAAGAGTTTAGGAAACGGCTTAACCTGACTTGTACACGGATGACAGTTCTCAGACTCAGGAGATCTGCACTGGGGCTGTGGTCTAGCAAATGTCAAAGATCCGTGATGAAGGATGATGAGAAGAGTGATCTACACTATGTTCTCTTCCGAAAGTTGCACCTACATGTTTCGGCAAGCCTGTGCTTCTTTGCGTCAGGACTTGTGCAAACCGCCTACATTCGGGCTCCCTTCGGCCCCCCGTTATTAAGATATCTACGTATGTTCAAGCAAGTCCGAAATAAAAACCTATAAAAATCATCACAGCCCTCCCCTTAAGATGCAGCCGCGCGGCCCTGCTTATTCGAGGAGGCCTTTGAGCCCGACGAGGGCTCCCTCTGCGGATCCAGGAACGGCGTGGCCAAGGCCTTCGGAACGGAGCTCGGATTTAGTATTAGTAATCATATTAATGATATTAGTATTCATATTAATGATATTAGTATTACTATTAATGTTAGTTTGGCGCCCAACATCTACAGCGCAGTTCGATACAATCGGATGTTTCATAGCTGCGGGTCTTGCAGTGTAGATCGTGGCTGCGCTCTGCAATGCTATGGTTTACCATGGGTGGCAGCAGCTCCTTTGCATCTGTTGACATCGGCTTTCTGTGCTGCGCCATGCGAGGTCCAAAGTCAGGAGAAGGTGGCATGTAACCACTTAGCAGGCGGAGGGCGCTCGTTGAAACTACGGGTCCAAATTGAAGAGTGATGAGGATCCTAGCATTTAGGTTTCCGTTGCAGCTGCGAAAAAGATGAACCTTCGGGTGTTCCCGGGTACGGTGAACAGCCAGCAGAAACCCGAGCCTAAGCCTCTGAGCCCTGAAAACAGTTCTGCAGCTGGTGAGGTAATCAGCTCCTGAACGAATGAGAGGCCCGAGATTCAAAAAGCTGACCGTGTTCCTACTGTGGGCTTTGGTTTTGGATCGGCGAACTAAGCATCCCGGGATCCACCTCTCCGCTCTTCTCCGACTTCACCGAGTCCAGCGCAACTACGGGAAAGGTGGCACCGCCGCTGCCGCTGTAGGAGGATCTCAACGCCCTCCGCGCGATGTAAAGCTGCTGAGGCGAGGCGGCTGTCGAATCCAGGATGTGTGCCACCGTCATCCTGGCAATGCTGGTGCTTACGGTTTAGGATCGCAGTGAAGAAACAGCGGCCGAGAGCCGATCACACAAAAGCGGCAACCACATGCAAAGTTCAGATGATCGCACGCCATCCCTGCATTCGAGGCCCTGTCCGACAGCAGGACAGCGGAAGATGTCCGGTCCATGGTTTGGAAGGGAGTTCGCGAGATAGCAAGAGAACCGGCAAGGGAGCTGTGGACCAAGCAAGCTCGTAACAGGGATAACTGTTTGAGAAACGGGATACTAGCAGCCGCAGCCGGTCTAGTTCAGCCGTGCAGCTTCCAGCCGGCTGCGACAGCCCACCGAGGTGAGCACCTGTCCATCTGACATCCCAGTGTGCTTGCCGAGAATTAAAGCTATAGTAAGTCAACCTCACCGGTGTCCTGCTGTGAAGCGGGTGGTACTTCCTTTGTGTTGATCGTTTCGCTTCAAACATGGCAGTGGAAATCTTACGCGAAAGAGCCCAGCCCGGTCCCTCGACTCAACAACACAGAGCCACCGTCATCGTCGAAAGTACGCTGGCTGTCCGGCGTTGCAACTTGGCAGCTTTATTGGCAGCTGATGGCCCATCTTGTCTGCACCACTATAGACTATAGCACATGCACCGCAAGGGGCTCAAGGACATTAGAGTTTCTGGCTCTGTCCGTTCCATGAATGCCGCGCCGCGCCTCGTTGCCGGCTCCTCCCCAAATCGCCGGCTTCGAGCTCATGAGCCGAAACACCGCAGAGTTCAGGTGGCATTTAGATGCATGTAGCAGCTTCTTGGATCTTCTTGGTGGGTTTTGAGTGTTGGTTTGGGAATGGTGAAGTTGTAGGAATTTTGTTTCGGCGCGCACAATCGAACAATCCAGGCGAGGAATCTTCGTGGAATTTCACAGGGAGGCAGCAGTGTGACATGTCAGAGCTTCACCCTTTTGACCATGGCAACAATAAATCACCCCGCACAGCACAATGACTTGAGGAGTTGTAGAACATCAGCGGCAGAACAGGCAAGTCAAACTTAAACCCAACAGAAGACAAGTGACGCTTTCTTAAGGCTGCAACAACAACAACAACTACAACTACAACTACAACTACAACTACTACTACTACTACTACTACTACTACTACTACTACTACTACTACTACTACTACTACTACTACTACTGCCCGTATTGATTTTCGTGCTGCTCCGATTGAACCACAAGCTGGCTCCCAGATCTGACTCGTAGACGGCGCGATACGCGCACTGGCTCGTGGTGTTCGTCACCCGCACCTCAAGTTCGCTGCACAACTCGGCATTCTTGGAGTGGGAGTCCCCGGATTTGTTCAAGGAACGAAAGTCGTGATGACGCACGGGTGTCTGATAGAATACCAAACAGGCAGGCAGATCTGACGGCTCCCACAGCCGCTCGCCAGGACCACGCCCTTGTTTCTTGTCAAACATCTGTCCCGCACTCCCGATGCAGACGTCCGGTTCCCTGGCGACTTCTGCACCAAGAGCAGCACGAGCTAAGTCACACCACCTGACATCCACACACCATGTGGCGCCTTGAACAATCCACTGCATGGCCTTGCTGTTGCTAAGAAGCTCTTCTCGCAAAGCCATCCATGCCTGCGAGGTCAGCACAGGCGTCATTATCTCAACGATTCCGACCTCAGCAGCGATTAAGGTGGGATCAACATTCCACACACTGTTTTCAGGCGGAATTCGCAGGACTTCGTGTTCGCTCGCACGGTGCCCGAAAAGTCTTTCCCCTTTTTTCCAGTGTCTCCACCTTTCTTGAATCTTCCCTCTGTCAAACCCCAAAACAACTGGCTGGGCAATCTGCGGGCGAAAATACAGCATCTGTGTCCAAAAAGCGAACCAGTTCACCATCGAGATATTGACATCTCCGTCTGCCAGCCACACATAGTCGTAGGCTGACACCGCCGTTTCGGACAGATGAAGCAACCAAGCATTGACCTTACGGGTTTTCGGTGCGTATATCACCGATACGTTCAACTCAATGTCAGATGTATCGATGAAACCAACCTTATCATCCCACACCAGAAGAATCACATGCAGGTCAACTCGCAAGTGTGTAATGCCTGCATAGCAGACGACATCTGCCGGCCACTGGTCCGGCGGCAGATCTTGTGCTAACTTGGCTTTTAACCCCGGTCGCTTTCGGGCGGCCCAGTGTGACGTGTTGGCTTTTTTTTTTGAATACCTCTGGTCTCCCTAGCCAAAGATCTGATGTCGTTCTTCGTGAAGTCCACCTCTGGGCGTCCGATGGTCCGTACCATCAACACCTTGAGCTGGCTCGGTTCCGGATCCATCTGGCTTAGCTCTGCGAGCTCGTGCCATCGCAGCCGCAAGCCGAAAATTGTCCAAAGCACCAGCGCCGCCACCAGAGCAGCAACACGGGCTACGCTACAACGCATCGATGGTGCGACAAAGAGAGTCACCAGCAAAGAACTAGGAATTCGCGGGCACTGAGGACTGCAAGCCTCAAAGATATTTCAATACCACAATGGTTCGACACATCCGTACGAAGGAACAGATCTGGAGTGCCGGTGTTACTGCCCGCATTGCAGGAGGATTTAGGGAGCTCAATATCTACACAGCGTCACTACCGTGGTCAGGTTTCACTTCTGCGCGAAGCTGACAAACCAGAACACCGTTCAAGCTCTTGACACAAGGCTATAGTTTGAGTTTATGTATGGCTCGGGGTTTTCGACATGCACAGTCGGGCAGGGCAGGCGAGGAATAGCATGTCTGTACGACCACATGGTCGGAACTAAGATGCTACCAAGGTCTAGTGAGTCTAGTACGTAGGGCCTACGCCTAAACCCTAAACTTTAAGGGAACTGCTCTCTTTTTCATCTCTTGAGCTATGTTGGCACCGCGGTCTTAGCAGCTCCGCCGGATGTCCGTGGACTGCGGCATCCTAGGAGATTAAATCTATTAACTGGTCTGAGTAGTCTAGCATAGAGTAGAGGGTATAAACATGGGAGTACGACATTGACTACAGGTGTTGCAGGCGTTTATGAGGTACTACTGTGGGGTACTCTCTCTCTACAATGGTACGGTTGTGGGGTACTGCTATGGGGATTCTATTCTAACGATACTATTATCGGGATACCATGGTAGGGTACTGTCAAGAAACCAGAGCAAGAGCTAGCGGCGTAATTAATAGGTTTAGCAAAGCGGCCGTCGCCATCCAAAGACCCGCACTTCGGTGATGGAGTTGAGGGTTTAGGGTTTAGGGTTTAAGGGCTTACCGTGGGGTCTTGAAGGTTTTCAAAGCATAGGTTCCGTAACAACACCACATTGACATGTCGCGGCTGCGCAGCAGTCTTGTCGATTGAAGCCATTTCCATGCCACCGGACTCCTCAATTTCAGAGGCCATCTGGGCTGCAATCCCGATGGTTCCCTTCGACCACTTCAGTTCGCAGACCTTCACTCTTGCTCAAAGCACGCCCAGGTGGTTCCGGATAGCCGGGGGATCATGAACAGCTTCTCCCGGGACCCCTGAAGTTTGTAGCAGCCATGCCCTGACAGCCAAAATGTTCTAACTTAATCTCTAGACTCTAAAACCACGAAAACCATGAAACAATAAGCCCAGAATCCTACATCCTGAACGAGTCAGTGTAACGAAATGCTGCTTGGAGGCACTTGGCAACACTTCGCATGTTTCTTTGGAACTTCCGCCCGGCACAGGAGCTATGAAATTTGTATCCTCTGGCCCCCCACCCGATTCCGACAGTTGGAGCCCCGATTTCAATCCAAGGCCATCAACCCCTAAACCCTAAACCCTTTTTTTTTTTGGAACCCGGGCTTGCTGGCTGCCAGGACTGACCCTAAACCCTAAACCCTAAACCCTGAACCCTAAACCCTAAACCCTAAACCCTGAACCCTGAACCCCACAGCGAAGCCTCAGCTCGCCCGCATAAAAAGCCCATGCAACAGCCCGAGCCAGGGATCCCAGTGAGACAATGCGAAGCAGTTGCAGGAGAACCGCGCTTACTGTACGTTTTTTTTTGTGAGAGAGCTCCTTTTCTCCAGTGCCCCGAAAGGTAAATACTGTAGGGTTTAGGGTTTAGGGTTGTAAAGGCTTTGATATTCAATAGTTACCTATACTATTTTGGGTGGTTCCTTACTATACTTATTGTACGTATAATATCATAACCTCCAAGCCCCATTAGTTGCAGGAGAACCTGGCCTAGCAAGGGGGAGCCAGCAACTTACTTCGGGGTCTCTTCAAATCGGGGTACTCTGAGTGAGGCTCCTCAAAAAGAAGGATCCGGCTACTTAGGCGAACTAAGGCCTCCTTATCTGCTGAAACTCCCATGAGTCGGATTTGGCCGATTGCAGACCGCTCGAGAAGCTCGTTGCACCAGCTCACAACAAATTACACGACCAAAGCCTGTCTCGTCTTAACGCAGACTCTCCAGCAACTGCCTCTGTGAAAAAGACGAAGCCTCCGACGTCAGGCAAGCTGCTGCCTAACGTGGAGCCCGGCGTCTCGTTAGCGCCAGCCCACCAAACAGCTGAGCCGGTTGCTTCTCACACAAGCACCACTGTGTTCAAACCATCCAGCCAAAACCGTAAACCGTGTGGCACAGTGTGGGGATTGGGGTAACCGGGTAAGCTTTTTCGACCCAGGAATTCAAGTCTAAACGGTTTACGCGAGGCTACGGAAGCACGCACCTGAAAGCATGCCTCATGCCATACGCTGAGAACTCACCAAAATGAAAAGTCTGTCTAGAACATCCCACAAAGAATCCCTCAAGCCAAATAGACCCTAAACCCTCAACCAAACAGGCCTCCCTCCATCTCACCCCGGCACAGCACCTGGCCAGCTAACACCCGACAGTGGCTGCCCTTGTTGCGGCGCAGCCATCATCATCTCCACCTGGCGCTTAGGTTTGTGCCATAAGGCTTCGGGACTCACCCTCGAATGCTTCAGGACGACGCTACGTCACAGAACTCGGGGACCAGATTGGATAGCTAGTG